TTGCCAACTGATTGACAGTAATGCCTGAAATCACGTTAGTTATTTGAGCGATACTTAAAACTAGGTACATTAAACTTTATAGCATTTTTTACAGATTATTTCTATCGCAAATACAAATAAAGTTATAAATTTTTTTTAAAGTACACGCGAACTCTATGGATACTTACGCAAACATATATACACGCAAGTACATCCATCGACGTACGCAGACAGACACACACGCACGCTCACTCACCGTAGCTCACACAGACATATATGAAGAGTGTGGGACTGGGCATATATGCACATATATGTGTTGTTGCGCACATACATATATATATATATACAGGGTGTGCATATTTTTTTCCGTGAACTGCAAAATCATATCACCCTTTGTATTGCTAATGATGGAGGACATGTGGAAACCGTTGGAAAAATTTTCTCGGCATTTTTAGACAAATTAGCAATGATTTAATGTTTTTTGGGGTTTTTTTAAATTGTATTTTTCAAAAAAGTGTGAAAACAAGGGAGGTAACTTATAACAAGCTGGATTTTCAAGACTTGTGAGTCTATTGATTGGGAATCTTTGATCCAATCTCACGATTATAAAAGAAAAACTGAAATATCTGAGATACAAAATGATTTGAGAAGAGAATGTACAGAGTGCAATGGATAAATTGTCGTCTAAATGACGCAAAAACACAGATATCTTATTTGAACCATTTTTTTCGTTTTTAATGATCTATATAATACTAAAAGTTTATGATTACGTTCGTGCTTGTTTGGTACGCCCGTCTAGCGCAGACTGATTTCAGTTAATCTGATTTACGTGAATAAAATTTAAAAATTGGAGTTGTTTATTTTATTTATTTATTTATTTATTTATTTTTCAAGCATTTCACCCCAAACAAGGCGGGAAGCCACTAGGACGCAAACGGTTACAGAAAATTTAGAGCAAGATCAGATAGGAGTGATAGAAGAAAGGATGAGGGTAGTGGTTAGATCAAGGCAACTGGAGATGTCGATTGACATTACACTTGAATAGCTAGAGATTATAGCTCACAGCGAAACAGGAAAAGGGAAGGGAGTTCTACAGGCGAGAGGTGCGAGACATGAAGCTATTGGAGTAGAAGAGACGGCTACATTTAGGAGTTTCGACAGTGAAGGGGTGAGAGCGGGATGCCAGCCTCGTATGGCACTTGAACCCATGACGTCTGGGAACCAGCGAATGCAGCTCCTCGGAGCAATTACCATGAAAGTATTTGTAGAACAGACAGAGAGAGGCGACGGCGCGTCTGTGAGAAAGTGACTGTAGACGAGACGCCAGGGCAGGGCCAACCATATTGCATATCCGCCTCTGGAGCCTATCAAGAACCCCGAGGCAAACAGAAGGGGCACCAGACCATATATGGCAGCAATACTCCATGCAAGGGCGAATTGTGGATTTGTAGATCTGGAGGATCGACACCGGGAGAAAAACTTCCTGGCGCGGCTCAGGGAGCCAACTTTCCTTGCGGTGGACGAAGCAATTGACTCAATGTATTTATTCCATCTCAGGTCAGCAGTCAACGTGAGACCGAGAAGCCGCAGAGAGTTGCTCTCGAGAAGTTGCGCGTCAGACATTCTAATGGGGGGAAGGGAAGGGAAGGATCTCTGTGGTGATTAATAGAGAGCAGTTTTGTCTTAGAAGCGTTGAAGTTGACCAGCCAATTCTTTATACTGTAAGTATAACTTTCTTCAAACACATAAGTTTTTAATTAAAATATTCTTAAATTAAAGACAGACACAAAGAGATCCCGCTTTGCTGTTTTGTCCAGTTGTTTGTAGAGTGATTATTTATAGTTCAGCTTTCTTTAAACAAACCATGTTTTAAATATTTAAAAAATATTTTTAAATTAATCAGATTTAAAACATATTTTAAGTGAATAATATTTAAAAATACGAGTTGTTTATACAGTAAGTATTTTTATTTTTAACTTCCTTCAATAAGATAATTTTTTTTAATTTAAATATTTTTACGGTAAAGACAGACACAAAGACATCCCGCTTTGCTGTTTCGTCCAGTTGTTTCTTGAGTAATTATTTAGATTTCAGCTTCCTTTAAACAATCACTATTTTAAATAATTGAAAAATATTTTTAAATTAATCTGATTTAAAAAATATTTTAAGTGAATAAAATTTAAAGATACAAGTTGTTTATACAGTAATTATTTTTATTTTAACTTTCTTCAACCACATAATTTTTTAATTAATTTTTTTTTAAATTAAAGACAGACACAAAGAGATTTTGCTTCAAACAATTATTTGTATTTTAACTTTCTTCAAACACAATTTTTTTAATTAATTTTTTTTTAAATTAAAGACAGACACAAAGAGATGCCGCTTTGCTGTTTCTTCCAGTTGCTTGTAGAGTAATTATTTGTATTTTAACTTTCTTCAAACACAATTTTTTTAATTAATTTTTTTTAAAATTAAAGACAGACACAAAGAGATGCCGCTTTGCTGTTTCTTCCAGTTGCTTGTAGAGTAATTATTTGTTGTTTTTTAAACACAATTTTTTAATTAAATCAAAGACAATTTTTTTAATTAAATTTTTTAAAAATTAAAGACAGACACAAAGAGATGCCGCTTTGCTGTTTCTTCCAGTTGCTTGTAGAGATAAAAGAGATTATTTGTATTTAAACTTTTTGTATTTTAACTTTCTTCAAACACAATTTTTTAATTAATTTTTTAAAATTAAAGACAGACACAAAGAGATGCCGCTTTGCTGTTTCTTCCAGTTGCTTGTAGAGTAATTATTTGTATTTTAACTTTCTTCAAACACAATTTTTTTAAATAAATTTTTTTTAAATTAAAGACAGACACAAAGAGATCCCGCTTGCTGTTTCTTCCAGTTGAGTAATTATTTGTATTTTAACTTTCTTCAAACACAATTTTTTTAAGTAATTATTTGTTAAAGAAAGACAGACAAGAGATTTTGCTTTCTTCAAACACAATTTTTTTTTTTTTTAAATTTTTTTTTTTTAACTTTCTTCAAATGAAATTAATTTTTTAAAGACAGAAAAAGAGATGCCGCTTTGCTGTTTCGTCCAGTTTGCTTGTAGAGTAATTATTTGTATTTTAATTTTTTAAAATTAAAGACTTCAAACACAATTTTTTTTCAAACACAATTAATTTTTTTTTTAAATTAAAGACAGACACAAAGAGATGCCGCTTTGCTGTTTCTTCCAGTTGCTTGTAGAGTAATTATTTGTATTTTAACTTTCTTCAAACACAATTTTTTTAATTAATTTTTTTTTTAAATTAAAGACAGACACAAAGAGATGCCGCTTTGCTGTTTCTTCCAGTTGCTTGTAGAGTAATTATTTGTATTTTAACTTTCTTCAAACACAATTTTTTTTTTAATTAATTTTTTTAAATTAAAGACAGACACAAAAGAGATGCCGCTTTTGCTGTTTCGTCCAGTTGCTTGTAGAGTAATTATTTGTATTTTAACTTTATTCAAACACAATTTTTTTAATTAAATTTTTTTTAAAATTAAAGACAGACACAAAGAGATGCCGCTTTGCTGTTTCTTCCAGTTGCTTGTAGAGTAATTATTTGTATTTTAACTTTCTTCAAACACAATTTTTTTAATTAAATTTTTTTAAATTAAAGACAGACACAAAGAGATGCCGCTTTGCTGTTTCGTCCAGTTTGCTTGTAGAGTAATTATTTGTATTTTAACTTTCTTCAAACACAATTTTTTTAATTAATTTTTTTTAAATTAAAGACAGACACAAAGAGATGCCGCTTTGCTGTTTCGTCCAGTTGCTTGTAGAGTAATTATTTGTATTTTAACTTTCTTCAAACACAATTTTTTTAATTAAATTTTTTTATAAATTAAAGACAGACACAAAGAGATGCCGCTTTGCTGTTTCGTCCAGTTGCTTGTAGAGTAATTATTTGTATTTTAACTTTCTTCAAACACAATTTTAAATATTTAAAAAATATTTTTCGCATATGTAAAAAATATTTTCAAGTGAATATGATTTTAAATTATTTTTTTGGCATATTAAAAACATATTTTTAAGTTGATTTGAATTAAAGTTCAAGTTTAACCAGGAAGTTCTCTCCCTATTAAATGCTACAAACAATCAGTAAAACATTAAACAGGAACTTTTAAACCAGACCAGTGATGACACGAACGAATTGAAATATTTAACTAAATCTTAATAAAATAACTTTTAATTTCAATGAAATGTTAAAATCAACATTAATGTTTTTCATAGCTTGAACCATCAGTGACCCAACGAGTCACGGGTAGTCTTGTTATGAATATAAAGTTGTCGCGTCGATCAGTTTACAATTTTGTGTTGGCGATATTGATTTGTCCCTTCTCGCTCCGTGCGGCCTTTTAAGCGATTCCCTGCGGGGTGCTAATTGGACCCCTAAACTAAAGAGGCCTCTGGTCCAGCTGGGAAAATAGAAAAAAAAACAGCAGTGATAATTTTGAAGAAATAATTTTAAATTCCTCAATTCACTCCAGGGAGCTTCAAAACCTCGCTTTAACATTGATTCCGTCTGTAAGTTCAATTCCAGCCATAAGAACGATTTCGGGAGAAAAAGCGGGTTCTTCTAATCACCAATTCCATTTAACTTCAACTGAATATTTCAAATAACAATCTCAGCAGAAATTTAAAACCTCACCTCACGAAATATCTCCCTTTAACTCTGATTCCTTGGCATTTTGACGAAATAAAATCGATTTCCTCAATTCACAAAGCTTTCGCGATATTTAAAACTGAATTTTAAACAAAAATGTTTAAATTTTAAATTCACAAAGTCTTTGTGTTACCTTAGAATCAATATAAATTTTAAAAATTTAAAATCATTAATTTTTTTCAGTTATTTTAAAATTTGAATTTTTAACTGTTCCCTCCTCAATCAGCCACAAATCCCAAAGCTGGATGATCAAGCACCCGATGAAGGACATATTTTTAATCCTGTGATCATCCCGATTCCAAAAAGGTATAATATGTCTATACAGAGCAATTGTAGCCCGAGTTAGTGAGATTTCGGATACACAGAAGAACAGAGAGAATTTGTCGTTTATATATATATATATATATATAGAGAGAGAGAGAGAGAGAGAGAGATAGATAGATAGATATGAGTCGACAGCGATAGATAGATAGATAGATAGATATGAACCGACTGAGATAGATAGATAGATAGATAGATAGATAGATAGATAGATAGATAGATAGATAGATATGAGTAGACAGCGAAAGATATATAGATAGATAGACAGATAGATAGATATCAACTGAGTGCGATAGATAGATAGATAGATAGATATGAGTAGACAGCGAAAGATATATAGATAGATAGATAGATATCAACTGAGTGCGATAGATAGATAGATAGATAGATAGATAGATAGATAGATAGATAGATAGATAGATATGAGTAGACAGCGAAAGATATATAAATAGATAGACAGATAGATAGATATGAACCGATTCAGATAGATAGATAGATAGATAGATAGATAGATAGATAGATAGATAGATAGAATTTGAATTTTTAACTGTTCCCTCCTCAACCGGACACAAATCCCAAAGCTACATCATCAAGCACCAGATGAAGGACAGATTTTCAATCCCGGGATAATCCTGATTCCCAAAAAGTATATGTCTATACAGGGCTAGTGTCGCCCGAATTAGAGGGGTTTCATAGACGCTGACGCACAGACAGACAGAATTTACCGATTATTTATTGAGATAAAATCATAAATAATAAATATTTTATAAAACGGTAAATATAAATGTTGCATTTTACCCTGGTTCACATATTTTTTATAATCTTATAAACAAACTTTTCCGATGGAGTCTCCGTAGTATACAGCAGTGGTATTTAAAGTGTGGTACCAGTAGTGCTTCCGGTTTGCGAGCCATCGTCTTCCGGTACGCGGACAGTTTCCAAAAAAAAAAAAAAAAAAAAAAAGAAAACCGAAGAAGCAGTAGTCACATTCCACGTCTCAGGTGGATTGCCGGGATAAATGACTCGGTTTCTTTTTTTAGCATTTTCATTTTAGTTTATTCTGTAAGTTTTCTTTTTAATTCGTAGTTCATTTCGAAAGTTATTAATATATTCTCCAGTATTGAATTTAAGGTAAATGCTCATCTTATTTTTAAAACGAAACTCTTTTCCATTTACTCAAAAAAAATTTTCGGGATTCTATAACCTATTTTATACACATATTATCGACACGTAAAACACATAGACAGACCTAATAGCATATAGAAATTTTACTTTCAAACCCATTCGAAAGAATTAGATAAGGATTTAACTTAAATTCATTTCAGAAAAGGCTATGTGAATCTTTTGGTTTCGAGCCATTCTGAATATAAGATAAGAATTTACCTTCAATTCAATACACAAAAGCTGCGAGAATACGTTAATAACTTTCGATATAAACTAAAAATCATAAAGAAAAGACACAGAATAAAAATTAACGGCTTTTGGAGAGAAAAAATCACACATTTTAGTTTAATATTTATTATGGTTACATTTTTCAATGATTTACTCATGTTAAAAGTCATTGATATACAACTAATGAATGCGATATAATGAAAAGAAGAACAGTGAAATGAAATACGTATTTTGAAACAATTATAATGATGTGGTGTCCGACTCTGTGGGAACCACGCCAAGGAATATCAAAAAGTCAATTTCCTGGACATCTATTTCTAATTTGGCCTGAAAAAAAATCGCCTCACTGTAGTTAAAAGGTTTTGGCCAAAAATTTTAAAATCAGAATTTAATTCCTTAAATTCAGAATCTACACGGTGTCCATAAAGTCTCTTTACAATTTACAACATATATATATATATATATATTAAGCGTTTCACCCCAAGCAAGGCGGGAAGCCACTAGCACGCAAGGGGTTACAGAGAGTTGGAGCGAGAGCAAAGAGGAGTGATAGCGGAAAGGATGAAGAGAAGGATAGGGGATAGATCAGGGCATCTGGAGACGTCGATGGACATTATATTTGAATAGTTGGAGATTATAGCTATCATGGGAACACGAAGGGGGAGGCAGTTCCACGGGCGAGAGGTGCGAGACATGAAGCTATGGGAGTAGAAGAGACGGCTACATTTAACAGTTTCGAAAGTGAAAGGGTGAGAGCGAGATGCCAGCCTCATGAAGTCTGGGAACCAGCGAATGCAGCTCCTCAGAGCAGTTACCATGAAAGTATTTGTAAAAAAGACAGAGGGAGGCAACGGCACATCTGTGAGAGAGCGACTGCAGACGAGATGCCAGATCAGAGCCAATTACGTTGCTTATCCGTCTCTGGATCTTCTCAAGAACCCAGAGGCAAACAGAAGGGGTTCCAGACCATATATGGCAGCAATACTCCATGGAAGGGCGAATGGTTGATTTGTATATTTGAAGGATCGACTCTGGCGAGAAAAATTTCCTGGCAAGACACAAGGAGCCAACTTTCCTTGCGGTGGACGAAGCTATTGACTCAATGTATTTGTTCCATCTCAGATCAGCAGTCAACGTGAGACCGAGAGTGAGTATAGTGGAGACCTCTTCCAGGACGAAATGGAGCAACAAGCAATACACAGAACTACCGACGAACCTGGAATTGTGAAAACCGAAGTAAAACCCGCACTGGCCAAATTGGACAGAAACAAGGCAGCTGGGCCAGACGGAATTGAAATGCTGACAGCCTTAGAATGACTTTGACATAGACAAGATCACCGAAATAACAAATGTAATCTACGACAGAGGGAGCACACAGGAAGACCTTTAGCAGATCGTTAAATAATGCGTCATCTTCCGTTCCATTGAGAAAATTGCTTTTAAAAAAAAGATTTCACAACAACTTCTGGTCTAATATTATCGCAATTCACAGACTGGGTCTTTTTATTCTTCCTGTAAGTGTAAGGTCGTGATCAGGCATTGCCATCCACGTGTTCCATTGCTCTTTCATGTTTATGTCTAAGCTAATAGGAGTTGCTAGATAGCTAATTTCGGCCGACTATTAACAATCTTAAACCTACATACGTCATATAAGACGCAGGGGAATTTTACAAGATATTTTTAATAAAAAAGAAAGAAGTGTGCCTTATATGCCGTCAAATACGGTAAATTTATAATTATATTTATAGATCTTTTTCGTATGCTATATAAATAAAATACAGTAAATTTAAGCTTAATTGATATTATTATAGATTATATTGACTATTACACAAGATGTCCATAGAGTCGCTTTACAATTTTAAAAAATGATTACAAAGCAAATACGCCTAAGAAACCAGGCGCAAATGAATGCGAACTCCACCGAATAAGCCTAATGAGCCACGTGACAAAACTCATCATCCGTATACTGATGAACAAAGCGCGTAGCAGAATCAGGCCTGAGATAGGACAAGAACAGTGCGGGTTCGTTAAAGACACTGGAACAAGGAATGTAATATTCATGCTCAGAATCTTATCAGAAAGAGCGATACAGATGCAGAAGGACATTTATCTATGTTTCATAGACCACGCAAAGGCCTTCGACAAAGTACGCCATAAGGATCTCCTGGAACCGCACAGCAACCTTGACATATTCAAGAAAGATATCAGAATAATCAAGAACCTATACTAGCAGCAAACAGCATGCATGCACATAGGGAACGAGTTCAGCGAATGCACAAAAATAGAAAGGGTCGTAAGGCAAGGATGCATCTTCTCACCAGACCTGTTCAACCTATACAGCGAGGCAATTCTGAGAGAGTTAGAAACTCTACGGGGATTTAGCGTTGGCGGCCACAATCTTAACAACATAAGATACGCAAATGACACGCTACTGATAGAAGACATGGAAAAGAGATTACAAAATCTCCTACAGAAGGCAGCGACGGAGAGTGAGAAGAAAGGACTAAGCATAAACTTCAAGAAGACAGAATGCATGGTCATCAATAAAAGGATCAGCCCGATATGCGATTTGAAGGTCGAGAACACTAGAATCAAGCAAACGCGGAAGTTTAAATATCTGGGAAGCGTCTTGACATAGGACGGTAAGTGCGACACTGAGATCCGTAGAGACGTATTGGGATGGCCAAAGATGCATTCCAAAAGCTGGGCAGGGTACTGCAAGACAGGGGGTTTTCTTTGGTAACAAAGAAAAGAATACTGAGCTGTTACGTGACATCTGTCTTTTCTCTACGATTACTGAGCCCTTTATCCCATAAATATAGTACATCTTAAGACTATATTTCTTCATATTTATAAATGAGGATCACATCATTCTATGGATTAACAGTATTTTAATGCATACATTATACACTACTAGCGATGGATGTCGCCAATAATAATATTATTACTGATTGATTCTATGCGTGATTATTTCTTTGTATATAAATTATATGCTGCCTAATGTTTTATGTTTATAAAAAAAAACTATCGATCCGCAGTACAAAAAAATTCCTATAAAAAAACTACTATGACATAACACTATATTAATTGAACTATATACTTAGTTCATGACATATTAACTGAAAACACTTGTAAAAATAGAATACATGGATTTACCACATCACAAGAAAAGTTCAAATAAAAATTCTCACTAAAAATTTTGAAAAACTTAGTGTTGCGTCTTTGCACGTTCCGATATTGAACACAACCGTCAATTATAGAACATTCTAAAAAAAAACATCATTCGGTCGACAAACAATTATTTCGTCTCCAAGTTTTTGATTTTATAAAGAAAAACGTATGCCTGACGATGAATAAAGGATTATTCGAAAGTACTTGCATTTTAAAAGAATATAAACTGGAAACAACAGACAACAGTTTTATAAATGAGGATCACATCACTCTATGGAATAACAGTATTTTAATGCATACATTATACACTACTAGCGATGGATGTCGCCAATAATAGCATTAATATTGCTGATTGATTCTATGTGTGATTATTTCTTTGTATATAAATTATATGCTGCCTAATGTTTATATATATATATATATATATATATATATATATATATATATATATACAAACAACAAAAGAAAATATTCTATAAACCTAACCACCAATACTTAATATTCTAATATTTGGAGAACAAAAAATACTTTAACATTTAAGCACTAATTAATATATTAATAACAAAGCACATATATACGTGTGCATGTGTTTATCTGCTCCCGTTTGTACACACACAAACACACACACACACACCACACACACACATATATATATATATATATATATATATATATATATATACACGTGTGTACGTGAATGTATAAATGTAAGTATATGCATACAAATTGAAACAACAATAAATAAAATTTAATTATAAACATAACCTCCTATAAGTAACCATCGAATACTTAAGATACCACCAAATCAAATAAGAAAAATGAAATAACGAGCAAGTGATGACGTATCAAAATATTTACCTTATCATTTAGGCATTAATACAAATAAAGATATTTATATATAAACTGAAAAACAATTTTTTCCAAAAATCAAGAAATCACTAGAACACTCAAGAATTAACAAGGACAGTCGACGTCTGAAAAGCCAAATGTCAAATGTGATACAAATGAAAGAGAGAGAAAAAGTACAAAAAGCAACAAGGAGAGAGTATAAAGTGGCAAGAAAAACGACGAAAACGATAAGTACTCGGAAATGAAAATCTCCTAAAGAAGGCAGCGACGGAGGGTGAGACGAAGGGACTTTTCTTTTTTAAGCATTACGCCCCGAGCAAGGCGTGAAGCCACTAGGATGCAGGGGGTTGCAGAAGATTAGAAGCGAGAGCAGATAGGAGTGATAGAAGAAAGGATGAGGAAAAGGATAATGGATAGATCAAGGTAACTGGAGATGTCGATTAACATTAAATTTGAATAGTTGGAGATTACAGCTCCCACGGAAACAGTAATAGGGAAGGGTGTCCCACAGGCGAGAGGTGCGAGATATGAAGCTATTAGAGTAGAAGAGACGGCTACATTTAATAGTTTCTACAGTGAAAGGGTGAGAGCGGGATGCCAGCCTCGTAGGGCGCTTGAATTCATGAAGTCTGGGAACCAGCGAATGCAGCTCCTCGGAGCAATTACCATGAAAGTATTTGTAGAAAAGACAGAGAGAGGCGACGGCGCGTCTGTGAGAGAGCAACTGCAGACGAGGTGCCAGATCAGGGCTAATTACATTGCATATCTGTCTCTTGATTTTATCAAGAACCTTGAGACAAACAGTAGGGGTACCAGACCATATATGGCAGCAATACTCCATGCAAGGGCGAATGGTTGATTTGTATATTTGAAGGATCGATTCCAGGGAGAAAAATTTCCTGACGCGGTACAGAGAGCCAACTTTCCTTGCGACGGACGAAGCAATTGACTCAATGTATTTGTTCCATCTCAGGTCAGCAGTCAACGTGAGACCCAGCAGACGCAGGGAGTTGCTCTCAAGAAGTTGACTATCAGACATTCTAATTAAGGATCTCTATGGTGATTAATAGAAAGTAGTTTAGTTTTTGAGGCGTTAAAGTTGACCAGCCAATTCTTGCCCCAATTAACAACCGATTAGAGGTCCATTTCAAGACGCACGGCCAGGTTAGTTTTGTCAGCGACACTAGATTTGTTTTTGAGGCAGGAGCAAATTGTAGTGTCGTCCGCGTAGATGCCAACTTGGGAATCTATGGCGTCAGGAAGGTCGTTGATGAAAATAAGGAATAGAGTGGGGCCAAGGATTGCAAGAAAACGGAGTGCGTGGTCGTCAGTAAGAGGAAGATCCCGAAATGCGATTTGAAGGTCGGGAAACACTAGAATCAAGCAGACGCGTAAGTTTAAATACTTGGGAAGCGTCTTGACAAAGGACGGCAAGTGCGACACTGAGATCCGTAGACGTATTGGAATGGCCAAGGGCACATTCCAAAAGCTGGGCAGAGTACTGCAAGACAGGAGGGTATCTTTGGTAACAAAGAAAAGAATACGGAACTCTTACGTGACGCCTGTCCTTCTTTACGGCAACGAATGTTGGACGATTTCCTCAAGGATGAAGAAGAGACTCGAGGCGACAGAGATGGGGTTCTACAGAAGGGTGTTAAGGATATCGTGGACCGAGCGTGTGAGCAACGATGAGGTCTTGGAGAGGATGCAGGCAAGAAGAAGGCTCATGCTTAACATCAAGAATATGCAGCTGAAGTTTCTTGGACACATGATGAGGAAAGGGGGCCTGGAAAATCTGATACTCACCGGTCGAATAGACGGAAAGACAAGGGAAAGCAGCGCGTGACATTCCAGGCGGTCTTGAGCAGGTGGATGACAGAACGTGGTCTGGGGGAGGAAGCAGAGGGAAGGGACTTGTTGAGAGCTGCAAGGGATAGAAGGATGTGAAGAGCCATGATCGCCTACGTCCTGAAAGGACATGACATATAAAAAGGAAAAGAAATTTTGTAACTATTTCCACATATTTCCTTTGTAATCTTTCTTTTTTAAATTGTAAAGAGACTTTATGGACATCATGTGTAATAGTCAATCTATCTATATAAGGCAAGGTGTGTGTGTGTGTGTGTGTGTCTGTGTGTGTCTGTGTGTGTGTCTCTGTGTGTGTCTGTGTGTGTGTGTGTGTGTGTGTAGCGAATGCACGGCCGCAATTATCGACGGATTTGCACCAAAATTTACATGCACATGCTCCAAGTTAGCGGGAAGGCCAAGACCGACTTTGCATTTCCCAACTTCCATCGATAGTGGAAATAATCGATTTTTTTCATGCTTCTACGGCAGTTTTCATGTAGTTTGCGGACATTTTCTACTAGCCAGAGTGTGAGCCAATAGCTGGCTGCCACGAATAGGCAGGGAGATTCTATTGGCCAGCTTGAGAGCCAATAGCTGACTGACATGAATGGTAACTAGCATGCTAGCATGCAAAAAACATCGATAGCTGCATTCGTCACAAGTGTGAAAAATTTAAATCTGCATGGCACTTTACTCCAGTTGGCTCATTCGCTTGCTTAAACTCAACGTTGATTCTGATTCCGCAGAACTGGGTTTGGTGTGAAAAAGTATATGTTCTTAACATTCTTTTTTCATTCGGTTTTTTCCAGTTACGAGTCCTTTTTTAAAGCTGATCGTTTTGTGTTCATTTTGTTTAGTTCTTTTTTTCGTAACAGATTTAATGTTTCGTATAGAGCTTAGAAAAACTTCGCAGTGTGAGATAGGCAAGAACTAAGGCATGTAGTAACATCAGCACGGAAAAGGGCACTCCTTTAAAGGCAAGGAAGGGCAAAAATATTTTAAGTCAAGTGATAGCGATTGCTGTATGAGTCGTACGATTTTTGAATCAGGCACGGGCAACGCCGGGTCATGCTGCTGGTATAATCTATAATAATAAGTAAGCTTAAATTTACTGCATTTTATTTATATAGCGTACGAAAAAAGGATCTATTAATACAATTTTAAATTTACCGTATTTGACGGCATATAAGGCACACTTCTTTATATATATATATATATATATATATATATATATATATATATATATATATATAACAAAGAAATAATCACATAGAATCAATCAGATTGGGATTATTTCTTTGTATATAAATCATAATGTTTTATATATATATATATATATATATATATATATATATATATATATATATATATATATTGAACAATAATGAAATTAAAAATTAAAATCTTTTAGACACACTGGGTTGTAGATTAATATTCTTTCGTTTTTTTTTTATTATTATTCCATTTAGATTCCTCGACTAAATAAATATATATATATATATATATATATATATATATATATATATATATATATATATATATTTTTAAAATTCCCCTGCGTCTTATAAATCCCATATGTAGGTTTAAAATTCGCGGTAGTCGGTCGAAATTAGCTACCTGGCAAGTGCTATAAGCTCAGACTTAACCATGAAGAAGCAATGGAACATGTGGATGGTAATGCCTGATCCCGACCTTACACTTAGAGGAAGAATAAAAAGACTCACCATTGCCCAAGTCTGCGAATGGGTGAAGCAAGCTTGGGTTAATATCAGACCAGAAATTGTTGTGAAATCTTTTCAAAAGTCTGGCAATTCTCTCAACGGAACGGAAGATGGCGCATTATTTAACGACGATGGTAGCAGAATTGAAAATGAGTCCCAGAGTTTTGATAACGAAGGCGATGAATTTTATGGATTTATGGATTATGCTTGATTTTCATTTTGTTTCCTTACCTTTTATATCCAGTCACCCCACCTCCACGGGGGCGTCATGTGACACAAGGCCTTTTTAATGTGGGATCTCCGAGCCTGTGGGCTCGGCCAAAAATATGCCCTTTGAACCCGTATAAACGAGTTCAGGGTCGGTTTACCTTCCCAAAAGAGACTCCGCCCTTCGGCGTAGCCTCGTTCGGGTTCCTCCCCGCCCGAAGGCAGAGAGTTCGTTGGATACTGTTGTGGTAGGATCCACCTAATTTGCATAGTGGAGTATCGACCATATAAATATGGTTGGTACCGGGAAGAGAGGGAGGAATCAAGAGATTCAATCCAGAGACTCTGCCCCACTGCGACTCAGTCAACACATTCTCCAGGAACGGTCTTCCCAGGAATATACAAAAGACTATATGTAAATATTGTGTACACTTTCTTGTTTCAATACATTTTTTTTCTAAGTACATTTTGTGTTGCATTATTATTCCATGCATTAGTCAAGTTTCAACCGATACAATAAAGTTTTTTTATTCACTGTATTTGGAAAATTCTTGCAACGACGATTATCGCAGTATTGAAAATGAGTCTCAGAGTTTTCATAACGAAGACGACGAATTCTACGGATTGGAAGAGGAATAAAAGTTTTTCTCAATTGGAATAATTCCTTCATTTTCTATTTTGTTTGCTTACCTTTGGATATAATAAATTTTTTATAGGCTCAAGTTCTTTTTTCCTATTATTTTTCGTTTAATTATAATCCTGGTTTGCTTAACCCAGGTAATACCTCATAAATATAACATAGGCAGTACCATTTACTAATAATTTTATAATTACTATTTTTTTCTTGATTTTCCCTGCTGAAATTGGGGTTCGTCTTATACACCCGTGCGTCCTATATGCCGTCAAATACGGTAATATATATTAAATCGTAAAAATATATTTATAGATATTATATCACTGCATTTGGAAAATTCTTGCAAAAATCAAATCATTGTCAGATTTTAATGCAAATTTCAGAATTTTCATAAACGAATGAAATTGTTTTAGCAATAATTATATTTTAGAAAACCTTGGCAAAATATTTTTTTTACATCTATTACAAAAAACACTCACTTATCTAATTTGTAAAAATTTTAAGAAATTCATTTTTGTCATGCTTAACCTTTTTATTAATTATAAGCACAAATCCTTGGAGAATTTAAATCATGTTTTGTTTGTTTTTGTTTTTTTGCTTAAAATCGTAAAATAAATAATGCAACTAAGACATTAAGCTTTTATGATAGAGATATATATTATCGACACTACTGACTTAAGGAAAAAAATTAAAAATATTGAATTTTCACAAGAATTATTTTCATTTTTTAAAATGTAACATAATAATTTATAAGGTTTTAAATTTTTCAAATTTTTGTATCAACTTGTACAGATTAGGTGATAGTGTTAAGTAAAAACAATTCTTATAATCATAACTGGAAAAGTTTACTACAATTCTGCGACCCCCAGTATTTTAAAAAGAATTTTGAATTTATTTCGTGTGTATAAACGTGTCGACTTTTTTAAATACGAACGTCCATACACGACATTATCAAAAAATAAGAACCGGGGCTATAGTAAATTTCAAAGCAAAGTAACTAATATTCAATAAAATATTACATTACGTAGAATATTTAAATTAAATTAAATTGTAAAAATATGTTTATAGATGATATACCTGTACCGGCATTCATCCGGGGTGGGTTGAGCCGGCTCCAATATTGGAGTTTCATGGTAATTTGGAATTCACAAGCGGTCCCCAACCCACATGTATAGCACATGAGATTTGATTATAGTGGTGAAGGTTTCGCGCAGGACCATCCACACTTTTTGAAGGGACGAATACAGAGACCTGGTGCACTACGTGCCACAGGGTCCCCAAACGAGCAGGTTTTGAATTCAGAATTGTCCTTCTCCTAGACCAGTTGCCATCCAAGGCTATAGAACCCAGTCTGTCCTGCTATTTACCTATAGCTGGAGGGAGAAGAAGAGGATTCACACCTTTCCCAAGGGTAAGTGAATGTAATGGATTCGACTGGAATTCGAGCTCGGCTCTCCGATTCCTCAATCCAAGCCGCTATCCATTACTCCACCGTGCCTCCTCTAGATGATATACAGTTTAATTTGATATTTCGGGACATTGTAAAAAATCCACCTCAGAAATGCATTGAAAAAAAAACCTTATCAGGAACTGACCTTTCTCGGACTAACATTCTGTGCCGACATGCAGTGGAAGGATTATATTGAATCAATTGCTAAACCTATTGCTAGGAAAGTTTGTTCCTTGTGTTGTGTTAGACATCTTTTCTCGCCAGAATCTATCTTACATAAATCTACCATTCGTTCATGCTTTGATTACTGCTACCACATCTAGTCTGGTTCTTTTGCGAAATATTTAGTGATTCTTGGTAAAAATCCAAAGCAGAATCTGCAATGTTATTGGTACTGACTTGGCATCTTGGCTTCATTCCCACCACCATAACGTATCTTCCCTCTGCCTTTTCTATAGATACTTTCATGGTAATTGTTCTGATGAACTTCCCGCCATGCTTTCTTGTATTTATAAATTTAAACGCAGTACTAGACTGGCGGCAGGGTCTCATCATTTTACAGTTGAAACGGCTGATGTAGCCGTAAGTTCTATGTTAGCAGTTTCTTCTATCGCGCTTATCGATTGTTGTAGAACTCTCTTCCGGATTCTTGCTATCCCAACCTACTTTGATCTTCAAAAAATGTAAATGTCAATCGTTATCTTCCGTCTTTTTAATTCTTGTTCTTTTATTGCTCTCTCTCCTTAATAGTATTTTTTCTAAATTTCTTTATCACTCAATAACACCCCCCCCGGTGCCTTAACGACTTTATTAACTTGCATGCGATGAAATTGTGGCGGACTTCACCACATTAATTTAACTAAGATTAGGAAACGAAACTGACGTGAAGAAAAAAGGATGAGCCAATGACATCATTACACATAAAATTTGTATTTAACAAGATGTCCAAACAAGGATGTGAAAGAAAGGCATGCATTGAGGAAAACAAGAGTTGTCTCTCTTTAACTATTAATTGTGTTCCAAAGTTTACTGAAAATAATAAGAAGGTGGTGATAGTTTCTGGTAATAAATGTTTTCAACAGTTTTGGCTGTGTA